TGGAAGGCTCTTGCGCTGCCTACGATGAGGGACGAGCGCCCGGCACGACATCCCACGCGCCCTCGTCACCGCGGCATAGGCCGGTCCGGTCCTCCGGAGAAGTGCTCGCAAGAGCCTCTCGTAGGTGTCTTGGTCGAGGAGCGCCACATTCTGGGGAGATCCGGCGAGATCTGGGCAGGTCCGGGGAGATCTGGGGAGGTCTGGGGACATCCGGGGAGCTCTGGCGAGATCTGGGGAGGTGTGGGGAGGTGGGGAGGTATGGGGAGATCTGGGGAGATCTGGGGAGATCTGGGGAGATCTGGGGAGATCTGGGGAGATCTGGGGAGATCTGGGGAGGTATGGGGAGATCTGGCGAGGTATGGGGAGGTCTGGCGAGATCTGGGGAGGTCTGGGGAGATCTGGGGAGGTCTGGGGAGGTCTGGGGAGGTCTGGGGAGGTCTGGGGAGGTCTGGGGAGGTCTGGGGAGGTATGGGGAGGTATGGGGAGGTATGGGGAGATCTGGCGAGGTATGGGGAGGTCTGGCGAGATCTGGGGAGAACTCACCGAGGGCGCCGCCTCGCTTGCCAGAGGGGCACGTGCTGTGCTCGGCGGCGAGCGCCGCGAACGCGCTGCCGAGCGCCTGCGGAAGAGGGCTCCGAGCGGGCTCCGAGAAGGCACCGACAAGGTTCGACGAGGAAGGGGAGGGGGGGGGGGGAGGGGGGGAGGAGGAGGCCTCATGCCGACGGTCCACAGCCGGAGGCCTCAGCGCCGAGCGCCCCCCCGCACTTGTGTGTTTCGTTCCACACCGCGGTGGACCCACTACCGGCCACCCACCTCTCTCGCCTCCCGCCCCCTACCCTCTCACTCGGGGTGCGTGGCAGCCTGGCGGAGTGTCGGTTGTGAGCCTCTGCGCGCTGTTCACTGCGTCAGTGAGAGCGTGAGGTCCCGTCCCCCCCCAGCCCCCCTGTGTCGCCACGTCTCCTGAGCTGTGTGCGCGGGGATATGTGGCAGCCTCAGCTGGCGGAGTGTCGGTTGTGAGTCTGTGTGTGTGTGTGTGTCGCTCGAGCGTGCCGTCATCGTCGGTCTCGCGTCCACCCGCACCGCGCCGCCGGTGTCCCAGCCCGCGCCTCTGGCTGCTCTTCGCCTCACTATCTATTGTATCCTCTGCGCCTCGGCGTCGCCAGCCTTGTCAGCGAGCTCGGCCTGTTCCGGGGAAGGTTCCGGGGAGGTTCCGGGGGAAGGTTCCGGGGGAAGGTTCCGGGAAGGTTCCGAGAAGGTTGCGAGAAGGTTGCGAGAAGGTTGCGAGGGCCACGTGGCGGGGCAGGGATCGAGACGGCAGGGGAGGCGGCGGGGAGGCGGGGAGGCGGCAGGGAGAGGGGGAGGAGGACATGGCTTGCCTTGAGCTTCTCGCACACCTCCTCCTCCTTCACGAGGATGTGGCTCGCCGCAACCTTGCGCCAGATAGGGTGAGATGTGGGGAGATGTGGGGAGGTGTGGGGAGATGTGGGGAGATATGGCTCGCCGCAACCTTGCGCCAGATAGGGTGAGATGTGGGGAGATGTGGGGAGGTGTGGGGAGATGTGGGGAGATATGGCTCGCCGCAACCTTGCGCCAGATAGGGTGAGATATGGGGAGATGCGGGGAGATGTGGGGAGATGTGGGGAGATGTGGCTCGCCGCAACCTTGCGCCAGATAGGGTGAGATGTGGGGAGATGCGGGGAGATGCGGCGAGATGTGGGGAGATGTGGCTCGCCGCAACCTTGCGCCCGCCGCCGCCGCCGCCCATGAACCGGTACGCCAGCAGGGCGAGTAGCACGAGGTGCCTAGTACCATACCCCCAGAGTACCGAACCCAGTATGAACCGGTACGCCAGCAGGGCGAGGAGCACGAGGTGCCTAGTACCATACCCCCAGAGTACCGAACCCAGTATGAACCGGTACGCCAGCAGGGCGAGGAGCACGAGGTGCCTAGTACCATACCCCCAGAGTACCGAACCCAGTATGAACCGGTACGCCAGCAGGGCGAGGAGCACGAGGTGCCTAGTACCATACCCCCAGAGTACCGAACCCAGTATGAACCGGTACGCCAGCAGGGCGAGGAGCACGAGGTGCCACGGCGCCAGAGGGCCCAGCACCGGAGTGCTCATCACCGCCATCACCTGCTCACAGCTAGAGGTGTGAAGAGACGCTGTTCACAGCCAGAGGGCACCACCAGCTCATCACCGCCATCGCCTGGCGGGCGGGGTGCGGACTGGTCGACTCGGCCCGCGCTGCAAGGAGGTGGCTACGTCCCCGCGCGGGGCCGCTCCGGAGCGACCCGGCCGCCCTCCGACCCCACTGCCATACCACTATCCTTCAACACTAGCAGGTGGCTTGGAGGTGGCGGGAGGTGTCTTGGAGGTGTCCTGGAGGTGTCCAGGAGGCGGCTAGCAGGTGGCTAGGACTAGGAAGTGTGTGGGAGGTGCGTGTCCACAGGAGGTGTCCAGGAGGTGTCCAGGAGGTGTCCAGGAGGCGTCTAGGAGGTGTCCAGGAAGTGTCTAGGAGGTGTCTCGGAGGTGTCTCGGAGGCGCCGCCTTCTCGACCGGCCCGACTCCGCCAGTGTTGAGCGAGAGGAGCTCGAGGTCGAAGATCAGCACCTCGTCGGCTCCGATCTTGCCGCCGGCGCCGCGCGACCCGTACGCCAGCTCGCTCGGGATGTACAGCTCCCAGCGGTCACCCGCCCGCATCAGCTGCAGCGCCTGGTGGGCATGGCACGTGTAGGATGATGGCCTGACCCACCCCACCAGCGTCCTGCCTTGGCCAGCTGCAGCGCCTCTGTCCACCCTTTGATGACCTGGGACGGCGCAAACGTGGTGGGCGAGCCGCGCTTGCGGGACGAGTCAAACACGGTCCCGTCGAGCAAGCGCCCCTCGTAGTGGCACTGGCACGGCGTGCCCGCCGACGGCCGCGGCGCAGACTGATTGGTCGCCGCCTTCAGCACCTTGTACTGCAGGCCCGATGGCAGCACGACGACGCCCGCGGCGCCCTTGTTACCGTCCAGGAACGCCTGGCCCTTTGCGTTGGACGCGCTGCTTACGCTGACGACTAGAAGCGCCGCGAGGGCGCGCAGGGACGCCAGCAGGAAACGCGCGCGCATTATTCACCCGGCGGTTGTTATTTCTTTTGAGAGCGCCTTCGTTGTTAATAGTACAAACCCAATGGTCCTCTGCGAGCGGTCCTTCTCTTTCTTTTCTCGAGGTTCTCGAGGTGGATATCCTTTGGCCGCGTTGGGTAGCGAGGATTGGTGTGGCGCGATCCACGCAGGCGTGTTTTCTGGCGGCCACCTCGAGACCCGCTGGGTCCCGGACGTCAGCACACGGCTAACAAAAGGCCAGACCTGCAGCAGTCCCATGCCGGCTCTCCGCCACAACCCCCGCCGGGAGGGAACAGTGAGGGAATCCCTGCTCACAGAAAAGGGCTCCGAGCCCTGTCTCGCACACGCCCCTGGCGGGCGCCGCGGACCAGTTCCGCGAGCGCTCGTCAGCGGGTGGTGTGCGGTTCTTGCCGTAGTTCCTCTTCGGTCGCCTAGCCCCGGTGCCGTCTGTCGGACGCCTGCGTGTCACGAGTGCGAGCCGCTCGCGGCTCGTACGCCCGCTTGCGGGTTCGAGTGGCGGGCCATCCCGCTTGCGGGATGGCTTAGCGGGTTCGAGCCGTCACACAAGACATTGGCTGCCGGGGTGTGCCGAGGGGGGGCTGGGTGGGCGGTAAGCCGTCCACTGTGTGCTTTATCCGGCGGTATATTTTTGGGCTATCTCTCCTCAAAAACGATGTCAAGCGCCCGCTCGCAGCCAGCACGCGCCGCGCCCCTGGGCGCTCCCCGCTGCGGCGCGCCGCCCGCGCGCGGGTTGCCCGGGCGAGCGACCGCCACCGCTCGCCCCTCAGCACCCTCTGCCCGCGCACGGCCGACGCGCAAGCCCGCGGTCGCGCGCGAGCCGTCGCTTTGCGGACGCCGCCGTCTACCCGCGCTCGCTCGCGATCGAGTCAGACGACCCTATCTTCCGAGTAGCGGAGGTGTGCTTGCACCCCCTTCCCAAGGCACATGCACTTTGGAGGGAGAAAGTAATCGCGGCGGGGCCCGCAATCTCACATTAGGCACCTCACCCCCAGCAGGCGCGTTCTCGGCGTGCTGCTGCTGCACAGGTTTTGCGGCCGCCCCGAGAGGGGGAGCGGCCGCTCCTCCGCACCATCGGCCCACGGCATCCTGGGCGGCGTCGGCGCCGCCCCAACGGCCGGCTCGGGCGCTTCCCGCCCCGCCTCGGCTACACTTTGTCGCGGCGATCCAGCGGTGCGCCGCCGCACCGCGCGCCTCCCCGGAGCCTGCACACACATAAATGTACACATCCGTCGGTTTTTCTTGTGCCTGTGATTGTGCTAGCACGCGCCAGTTCGCACCTGTGTCGAGCCTGTCTGCTGTGAGAGAGAGAGTTGTGTTGTTAACATAAATTCTTTTCTTCGATCTGAGAGATTGAAAAAAAGGCGCGGCAGAAAAACGGTATGGCGGGTGGAGTGCTCTCTACTGCCGCGGCGCCCCTGTCGCGTTCGGAGGCGCCCGGCGGCCGCGCGCTTGGTGCCGACGTCGACCGGCTGCTCTCGCTCGCGGCGCCGAGATGTGCCGCTTCGGTCACGTCACGCGCGCTGCGAGGTGTCTTTTGGCATGTGAGCGCTGGCAGGAAACGCCAAGAAGCTGGTCTTCCATGTCCGCGGCCGCGGGCGGACCCGCCGGGCTGGGCGACGCTCTGCGCGGGTCTTCGAGCTCGCACTCTGTACAGCCTCGCCAAGCTGTCTCCCTGTCTGGGAAGGCCTACAGGGCCAGGGCGGGCCGCCTCGGGCGCGATGGCGCGCTGAATAGTAAGTACCATGACTACGAGCTCTCGATCGGGTCGCCGGCAGCGGGCTCGCGCGGCGTGCTGCTCGACGGCAGGACCCTCCCCACCCTTTCAACAGTGTCTTTTACATCGCTTCTCTCGCTGCAGGCACCACCACCGACTCTACCTCCGACCCCAGGGCCTAGGCGGCCCGCCATGAAATCTAGCCCCGTGTGTGCTGGCGTCCGGGTCCCAGCGGGTTTTCACGTAACAAGTACACACGAGTTGGGGCCCCTACCCCAATAAGCTCTGTCCCCTCCCAGTCTGGTCGCGTGGTCGAGACCGAGGTGTCGAACTGAGAGGCACTACTGGAGGCTACCTCCGGCCACCGCTCGACTACCCAAGCACATGGCCGGTCCTGTGGCTTGCCTGGACTCGTTCAGAAGCCGCAATTCGCGCACACCTTTGCTCTCTGGCTCCCGCGAGTGCGTTCAGGCCACTCAAGCAGGCGACGCCGAGCACCCGCGACGCATCTCGCTGGGGCGCTACCTATCGACCCGACTGATTGGCAGCATCAAAGCCGATCCCATGACGGTCCTTCAGCCACACGAGATAGGCAGATGCGCCCTGTCACGGGGATGCCCCCCCCGGACACATGCTGCAGCCCCGAGTGGATGTATTGGTCTATTGTGGGTCCCACAAGACTACTCTAGTTGGGGCCATTTCAGGAGCTCATCCTGGGCGGTTTGGGGGAGTCTTGGGGGTGTACTTGAAGGTGGTAAAAAGAGTTTTGCACCTAGCTTAACCGGGGGGCGTGCTGAGCAGCGTGAAACAGCAGGCAGAGCTTATCGTTGACGGCGAACATGGTGGGGCAAGTGGGCATGGCTGTGGACGCGCCGCTGCTCGGCCAGCGAGTCGAGCTCGGCGGGCTCTCTTCCCGCCCCGAGCTGAACGGGCAGCGGGGCGTGGCTCAGAGCTTCGAGGGCGGGCGGTACGCGGTGGCGCTCGAGGGCGGCGGCGAGAGCGTGCGGGTGCGGCCGGGTAATCTGTCGCCGGCGGCGGCGGAGCGGGCGTCGAGCGGTGTCGTGGCAGCCCCCGATGAGATCCTCGCAGCGGCTGAGCGAGGCGACGAGGAGGCGCTGCTGGCGTGGCTCGAAGGCGGCGGGCGGGCCGACGCGACGTACGAGGGAGGCGAGGTGAGCGGCCTCACGCTGCTGATAGCCGCCGCCCGCAGCGGCCACGAGCGGCTGGTTGAGCTGCTGCTGCGGCACGGGGCGGAGGTCAACCTGCAGAGCAGCAACGGCGTCACCGCGTTGATGCTCGCCGCCCGCAGCGGCCACGAGCGGGTGGTCGAGCTGCTGCTGCGGCGCGGCGCGGAGATCAACCTGCAGAGCAGCAAAGGCGGCACCGCGCTGATGGGCGCCGCCGGCGCAGGCCACGAGCGGGTGGTCGAGCTGCTGCTGCGGCGCGGCGCTGAGGTCAACTTGCAGGACATCAAAGGCTGCACCGCGCTGATGTACGCCGCCCGCAACGGCCACGAGCGGGTGGTCGACTTGCTGGTACGGTACGGCGCGGAGGTCAACCTGCAGGAAAGCGACGGCCACACCGCGCTGATGGCCGCCGTCCTCTTCAACCGCCCCGCCGTCGTGCGGCGCTTGCTGCGGGCGGGCGCTGACACGGCGGCGCGCAATGCGAGCGGCGAGACGGCGCTGCAGCTGGCCAAGGGGCAGGGCCACGCCGAGTGCGTCGAGGCCTTCAAGAAGCACGTTCAGGAGGTGGTGGCGGGACGGCCCTCGGCGACGGCAGTCGGCGGCGAAGGCGCAGGCGGCGCTTCCTCCGGCGGCGCTTCCTCGGCTGGATCGAGAGTCGCGGAGACGCCATCTCCAGCGGTGGCGGCGGGGCGGGCGCCGAGCGGTGTCGTGGCAGTCTCCGATGAGGTCGTCGCAGCAGCGCAGCGTGGCGAGGAGGAGGCGGTGCTGGCGTGGCTTGAGGGCGGCGGGCGGGCCGACGCGACGTACGAGAGAGGCGAGGTGAGCGGCCTCACGCTGCTGATGAGCGCCGCCGACTACGGCCACGAGCAGGTGGTCGAGCTGCTGCTGCGGCGCGGCGCGGAGATCAACCTGCAGAGCAGCCGCGGCAGCACCGCGCTGATGTTCGCCGCCCGCAGCGGCCACGAGCGGGTGGTCGATTTGCTGATTCGGCGTGGGGCTGAGGCTAACTTGCAGGAAAGCGACGGCGACACCGCGCTGATGTACGCCGCCTTCTCGAACCGCCCCGCCGTCGTGCGGCGCTTGCTGCGGGCGGGCGCAGACACGGCGGCGCGCGCTGAGGACGGCAAGACAGCGCTGCAGCTGGCCAAGGAGGAGGACCACGCCGAGTGCGTCGAGGCCTTCAAGAAGCACGTTCAGGAGGTGGTGGCGGGACGGCCCTCGGCGACGGCAGTCGGCGGCGAAGGCGCAGGCGGCACTTCCTCCGGCGGCGCTTCCTCGGCTGGATCGAGAGTCGCGGAGACGCCATCTCCAGCGGTGGCGGCGGGGCGGGCGCCGAGCGGTGTCGTGGCAGTCTCCGATGAGGTCGTCGCAGCGGCTGGGCGAGGCGAGGAGGAGGCGGTGCTGGCGTGGCTTGAGGGCGGCGGGCGGGTCAACGCGACGTACGAGAGAGACGGCGTGAGCGGCCTCACGCTGCTGATGCACGCCGCCATCAAAGGCCACGAGCAGGTGGTCGAGCTGCTGCTTCGGCACGGGGCGGAGATCAACCCACAGAACAGCGTCGGCGACACCGCGCTGGTGGACGCCGCCGGCATCGGACACGAGCGGGTGGTCGATTTGCTGATTCGGCACGGCGCTGAGGTCAATTTGCAGAGCAGCAACGGCGGCACCGCGCTGATAGCCGCCGTCCTCTTCAACCGCCCCGCCGTCGTGCGGCGCTTGCTGCGGGCGGGCGCAGACACGGCGGCGCGCAGTGCGAGCGACGAGACGGCGCTGCAGCTGGCCAAGGAGGAGGACCACGCCGAGTGCGTGCGCGCCCTCGAGGAGCATGCGGCGGCGGCGGCGGCGGAGACGGCGGCGGCGAGGGAGGCGGAGAGAGCGGCGGCAGAGGCGGAGGCGGCGCGGCATGCCGAGGCGCTGCTGGCGGAGGAGGAGGCGGAGAAGGAGGAACGCGTCAAGGAGAGCAAGAAGAAGAAGAAGAAGAAGAAGAAGAAGAGCGGCGGCGGCGAGGCAGACAACGCGGCGCCTGGCCCCAGCGCCACCGCCGCTCTGCCGCCGCCAACCCCACCGCCAGCCCCATCTCCTCCGCCCGCCGACGCAGCCGCCATCGCCGCGGCGGACGAGGCGCTGCAGCAGGCCGTGGCCGCTGGCTCGTACGAGGGCATGGCCAGCGCGCTGGAGGCGTGCAGCGGCCTCGCGAGCCCGGCGGTGCTGGCGGCGGCGAGGCGCGCGCGCGACAAGCTCAAGGAGGCGCGGAAGCGGGACAGCCAGCGGCTGCGCAAGGCGCATGGCGCGGCGATGGGCGCGCTCAAGTCGCTCGACACAGCGGAGGGCCCCTCCGCGCTCCGAGCGGGCATCGCCGCCGCCAAGGCGCACGTGGGCGTGCTGCCTGCCTTGGCCGAGGAGGTGAGCGCGGCAGAGTCGCGGCTGGATCTGCTGTCTGTCGCGGCTGACGAGGCGGTTGTTGCTCGGCCCGTCGAGATAGCCTTGTCGGACCTCGCCGCGGCTACGGACGGGTTTGCCGACGGCAAGCTGATTGGCAGCGGCGGATTCAGCCATGTCTACGAGGCGTCGGCCGACCTCCACCTCTCCCTCGCCGCGCCGCCGCAGCTGCGCCACCTGCCGCTCGTCGTCAAGCGGGCAAAGTCGGGCCAGTCCGGCGGCTTGTCGCGGGCGGAGCTCGAGGTGAAGCTGCTCAAGGCGGTGAGCCACCCGCACCTGCTGCCGCTGCTCGGCTACTGCCTCTCGCCCGACGGCGTCTGCCTTCTCTCGCCGCTGATGCGCGGCGGCTCGCTCGAGGCGCGGCTGCGCATCTCAGATCCCGACCACGCTGCGCAGCTCCGGCGGCTGGGCATGGCGGAGGCGCCGAGGCCGCTGATGTGGCGGCAGCGGGTGCGTATCGCGTCCGAGGCGACCGAGGCGCTCGTCTACCTCCACTCGAAGGGCATCGTGCACCGCGACGTCAAGCCGGACAACATCCTGCTCGACGAGAAGCTGACCGCTGTCCTGGCCGACACGGGCTTCGCCAAGGACCAGCGTCCCGACGCGTCTGTCCGCTGCCGCTCGACTGCCGCCCTTTACATGACCACGGGCTACCTCTGCCCCTCCATCATCAAAGGGGGCGAGTACTCGAGCAAGACGGACGGCTACGCCATCGGCATCACCCTTCTCGTCTGCCTCACCAATCGGTCCGAGGTGCAGCTCACCGACCGGTGCGAGGACGAGTTCGACGAGCTCTGGACCAACATCGACGCGTCCAAGGTCGCAGACGCGGCGGCGGGGTGGACCGCCGCTGCTGCGCGCGCTGTCAAGGACCTTGCGCAGGCGGGAGACGGGCAGAAGAGCCTCTGCCACAACAGTCTGCGCAACCGCTGCACGCTGCCCGAGGCGCTCACGACGCTCCGGGCGCTGCTGTCTGGCGCGCAGCGCGGAGCGGGCATGGAGGAGACTGCGCCGGCACCTGGAGACGAGGCCGCTGCGGCGGCCGCTCGCACCACCGGCTACGAGCCTTCGCCGCTCTCGGTGCAGGTGCGCGGCATGCGCACCTCCGGCGACGCACAGGCGCGCATCCAGGACAACATGCTGATCGCATTCAAGACGCTGATGCCGCGCCTCGACGCCGTCTACGCCTCGCTCTCTGTGGCGGCACCCGACGGTTTCGAGGAGCGCATCAACTTTTGGCACCGCGAGTGCGGCTTGCCGGCCGAGCTGCGGAGCCAGCTGCACTCGCTGCGCATCTGGGCGAATGCCGCGCGGCACCACGACGCGGCGAGGTGGAGGAGGGACGGGCCGCGCAACGAGGAGGCGGCGTCGCGGCTCATTGCGGCGGCGACGGAGGCGATCGGGGCGCTCGAGGCGGGATGAAAGGGGTGCGCTATTTTTGTGTAGTTTCATACCTAGTCCGTTTTCCATGTAGCTCTTCGGAAGAGGCTCTTGTAGTCTAGCGGCCCCTGTCATGTGTGATCCACCTCTCAAAACCATCGCCCCGGGCGGCCCCCTCGTCGCACCTCGCACTACAATAAGAAAGCAAAACCACCCCTCCGCGCTGCCGCCATCGAGGCCACCGCCTCCCACGCGCCTACTGCCGGGTCGTACCGCTCCACCGAGCTCAGGCGGCCGTCGAGGCCCCGCCCACCCACAGCGTACAGCTTGCCGTCGAGCACTGCCACGGCGTGAGATCCTCGCGCCGTCGTCATCGGCGCCACCGCCTCCCACGTATTGCTTGTCGGGTCGTACCGCTCCACCGAGCTGAGGGACTCGCCCAAGCCGTCGTACCCTCCAACGGCGTACAGCTTGCCGTCGAGCACCTCCATGCCGAGTCTCCACCGCGCCGTCGCCATCGGCGCCACCGCCTCCCACGCGTTCGTCCCTGGATCGTACCGCTCCACCGAGGTGAGGTGGCCGTTGTTGTAGCCTCCCGCAGCGTACAGCTTGCCGTCGAGCTCCGCCAGGGCGTGATTAATCCGCGACACAGTCATCGGCGCCACCGCCTCCCACGCGTTCGTCACGGGATCGCACCGCTCGACTGTGCTGAGGTGGCCACCGTTGCGGCCGCCCACGGCGTACAGCTTGCCGTCGAGCACCGCCACGGCGGGAGCCTGCCGCGCCTCCGCCATCGGCGCCACCGCCTCCCACGACTTCGTAGCCAAGTCGTACCGCTCCACCAGGTTGGAAGTTGCGCTGTCAGCCTCACTCTGGCCGCCCGCCGCGTAGAGCTTGCCATCGAGCACCGCCGTGCCGACAACTAGTCGTGCCGTCGGCATCGGTGCCACAGCCTCCTCCTCCCACTCATTCATTGACGGGTCGTACCGCTCCAGCGAGTTGACAGTCCTACCCTCGCTGTCTTCACCGCCGATCACCACCATGCGCGGCCTCTCGCGCTTCTTCAGCGTCTCCTTCCAGCCGCGGCGCCACGCGCGGCACGTCCCCTTGACGGCGTGCGCCTTGGTCGGCAGCTGGGCGAGGATGTGCGGGGCGAGGTCCGGCGAGAGGAGGACCTCGGAGAGCACCCACTCGGGCTGCTCCGCGAGCCGTGCGGCGTGCTCCTCCGCCACGCGCAGCGCGGCGGGGCTCCAGAGGGGCGCCTGCTCGTCGATGAAGGCGACGATCTGCTCTGGCGAGAGGCCCGAGAGGCGGGCGCCGATGCGGTGGGAGGCCATCGTGCAGAAAGAAAGAAAGAAAACACAAGCCAAGGGAGGGATGGGAGAACGGCACGCCGCCACCACACAGGGATTTTAAGGAGAGGAGTGTGATGCGCTAGCCGTCGCCCACCCTGGGGAGTCTGCCTCTTCGTATCTCTTTTCGCAGTCTCTCGCCGCTTCTCGCTGCAACCTTCATGCCACCTCGCGGCCGTCCCACTCTACAACAACAACGCCTCCGTTGGCCACTCCTACGCCTTCGGCAACACCGAAGAGAAGGCCCGCCGCCTAAACATGGGCTGCAAGGCGCGCGGGCAGCCCGGCCAACCCTTCTCCCACAAGACCGGCCACGGCTACGTCAAGGCGCATCGCGGTTTCTACCACGACGCGATCTTTGTCAAGCGCAACAACTTCAACCTGCTGCTCCACGAGACGTTCGGCGGCGGCTTCTCGCCCACCGCCGTTCTCAAACTGCGCCGCCTCGCGCGCAAAGTCGCGCGCGGCAGCGTCGACCGCACGGCCTACTCGCCCAAGTACTCGCTTTCTTTTATGTCCCACCATGCAGAGCGCATCTCTCTCTCTGTTGTGCGAGGCGTGAACCGCGCCATTCGCTCTCACCTGGCAACCCTGTCTGCACGTCTCGCGCGCGCGTGAACAGGCCTCCCCAAATGACGTGTGAGTGTTAGATTTGTTTGGTATTGCTAAAAATCTCCCACTCTCGTCGGTCTCTCCCTTGTCACTTCCTCCTCTGTCGCTTCGTTCTCTTCTGCCTCGTCCTGCGACGCCGCCGCCTGCCGGTCCCTTGTTCTCGCGGCTTCTTTCGCCTTGCGCAACTCCGTCCTCCTCGCGGCGTATCCTGGCCCCTCGAGTCTATCAAGCTCCCCTCGCGCAATCGTGCGGCGTGGGGCGTGAGCGCGTCCGATTTCTTTTTCACGTTTTCTCGAGATTCTTGCCTTTTTCACGGAAGAAGAAAGCGACGCCTTCAGGGGGGGGGGGGGTAAGGGAGCGGTGATATAGAAAAAAGAAAACGCACGACTGCCCTCCACTCCCGCTTCCAGCGGCGCCGATGGCCTCCCACCGCATCGGCGCGCGCGTCGCGGGCCTCTCGCCAGAGCAGCTGTGCGCCATCATCGAGGCGCAGGCGGGCGCGAGCGCCGCCGCGCTGCGCGTGGCGGAGGAGCACGCCGCACGGCTCGTGGAGCAGCCCGAGTGGGTGCTCTCCGAGGTCCTCCTCTCGCCGGACCTCGCCCCGCACATCCTCGCCCAGCTGCCGACCAAGGCGCACGCCGCCAAGGGGACGTGCCGCGCGTGGCGCCGCGGCTGGAAGGAGACGCTGAAGAAGCGCGAGAGGCCGCGCATGGTGGTGATCGGCGGCCACGACGGCGGCGAAGGCGGCGAGGGCGAGTTCCTCAGCTCGGTGGAGCGGTACGACCCGTCAACGAATGAGTGGGCGGAGGAGGCTGTGGCGCCGATGCCTTCGACACGAAGGTTTGTCCGCACGGCGATGCTGGATGGCAAGCTCTACGCGGCGGGCGGCCAGGATGAGGCCGACAGCGCAACTTCCAATGGTGGAGCGGTACGACCTGGCTGCGAACGCGTGGGAGGCGGTGGCGCCGATGACAACGCCACGCGAGCTCCACGCCGCGGCGGTGCTCGACGGCAAGCTGTACGCTGTGGGAGGCTACGGCGACGACGACGGCTTCCTCAGCTCAGTCGAGCGGTACGATCCGGCGACGAACGCGTGGGAGGCGGTGGCGCCGCTTGCGGCGTCGCGGGCTGCTGTCAGCTTGGCGGTGCTCTACGGCAAGCTGTACGCTATGGGCGGCGACAACGACGAAGACGGCCACCTCAGCTCGGTGGAGCGGTACGACCCTGCGACGAATGCGTGGGAGGCGGTGGCGCCGATGGCGGAGGCGCGGACTCTTGCCGGCGTGGCGGTGCTCGACGGCAAGCTGTACACTGTTGGCGGGTACAACGGCGACGACCACTACCTCAGCTCAGTGGAGCGGTACGATCCGGCGACGAACGCGTGGGAGGCGTTGGCGCCGATGGCGGTGGCGCGGGACGATCTCGCCGTCGCGGTGCTCGACGGCAAGCTGTACGCTGTTGGCGGGTACAACGGCGACGACCACTACCTCAGCTCGGCGGAGCGATACGATCCGGCCTTGGATGTGTGGGAAGTGGTGATGCCAATGGCAGAGGCGCGGTATAAGCTCGCCGTGGCGGTGCTCGACGGCAAGCTGTACGCTGTTGGCGGCTTCGGCTTCAACGGTGACTGCCTCAGCTCGGTGGAGCGGTACGATCCGGCAGCGAACACGTGGGAGGCGGTGGCGCCGCTGGCGACGGCGCGGGGCTCGCATCCCGTAGCTGTGTTGATATAGACCAAGAGACAGCTGAGTGTTGTTTCGCGCGCGGGCGCGCACAAAGTCTGAGAGCTCTCCCCTGAGATGAGATGTCTGCGTGTCGCTCTGACGCACCTCTGTATGTGTGCCAGCACCTGAGACAACACACGAGAGCGAAAGAAGCAGCTGAGACATGAGAGTATCTCGTAAGTAAAGCCGTAAAAGTAAAGTATTGTCGTGTCGCCGAATAAGAAAGCGAAACCATCCCTTTGTTTTTAACGGAGGAAGAAAAGTCAAAAGACCCACCCTGGCTAAAGGGTGGCGTCCCTAAAAAAGAACAGGGCGTCAGTAAAAAGAAAACATGCAGCTCTCCACCAGGTTGGGCTCTTCCCTCCCGCTTCAGCGCGCCGCCCGCACCGATGGCCTCCCACCGCATCGGCGCGCGCGTCGCGGGCCTCTCGCCAGCGCAGCTGTGCGCCATCATCGAGGCGCAGGCGGGCGCGAGCGCCGCCGCGCTGCGCGTGGCGGAGGAGCACGCCGCACGGCTCGTGGAGCAGCCCGAGTGGGTGCTCTCCGAGGTCCTCCTCTCGCCGGACCTCGCCCCGCACATCCTCGCCCAGCTGCCGACCAAGGCGCACGCCGCCAAGGGGACGTGCCGCGCGTGGCGCCGCGGCTGGAAGGAGACGCTGAAGACGCGCGAGAGGCCGCGCCTGGTCGTGATCGGCGGCGAAGACGGAGAGGGCGAGTTCGTCAACTCGCTGGAGCGGTACGACCCGTCAACGAACGAGTGGGAGGAGGAGGCTGGGTGGCGCCGATGCCTTCGACACGAAACTATGTCGGAAAGGCCGCGGCGCTGCGTGTGGTGGTGCACGGCGTCGTCTCCCGGCCGGATCTCAACGGCGCGGTGGCCGTCGTCGCAGCACCAAGGACGCGCGCGCCCGATGACCACGCCAAGCCGCTACGCTATCCCGTGCGACCCCTCGGCGCTGAGGACGCTCTGATGCTCCGGCCGCGCAACTTACGGCTAGCTGGCAGCGGCGATGCGCCGTGCCAGGGGAAGGGCAGAGGCAGGAAGAAGAGGGCCTCCTGAAGTGGCGCGGGTGGGGGCTGCATTGTGTGTGAGTGTGCTCACTTTCACTCACTCACTCACTCACTCTGCTCACTTCACTTCACTCACTCACTCACTCACTTCTCTCTCCCTCTCTCTCTCTCTCTCTCTCCCCCCCCCCTCTCCCTCCCTCTCTCTCTCTCTCTCTCTCTCTCTCTCTCTCTCTCTCTCTCTCTCTCTCTCTCTCTCTCTCTCTCTCACTCACTCAGCGCTCACTCACTCACTCACACCACACACACTCATGGGAGGCTGCATACCTGCAGGGGAAACCATGGAAGGATTTGTCTGCGGCCGGGCGCTTCCTTCTCTCGCCATGTAAAAAGAAAGAAAGAAACAAGAGTCGCGGGGTTTCTCTGCGCAACGAAACCTCTTCAAATTCTTTTTCCTGTCGCGTGAATCGTGTTGTGCGACCGCCTTGTAAAATTCTTTTTCCTGCGCCAGTCCCGTGCCCAGTGTAAAAAAGAAAGAAAGAAAACAGACAACCCAAGGGAGGGATGGGAGAACGGCACGCCGCCCAGTGAAATGTGACGGAGTTTTGTTGTAAGATTCTTTTTTTTTGAGAGCGCCTTCGTTGTTAACAGTACAAACCCAATGGTCCCTTGCACCGCCCATCCCCCCCTCATGGGGATATTCTTCCCCTCTTTCTTCCCAGTCCGCGGACTAAAAATTCTTTTTCCTGCGATGTATATATGTCCGATTCCGCCGCCGACACGCCGCCGCCCGCCCGCCTCCTCGACCTCCCAACCGAGCTCCTCGTGCGCGTCGTCTCTCGCTGCGACCCCGCCGACATCGCTCGCGTCGCGGCCGTCTCGCTGCTCTTCCACTCATCGCTCGCAAAGGAGGGCATCCTCTTGCGGGCGCAGGAGCGTGGCTACGAGCTGCCGGCGCAGCCAGAGAGCGAGAGCTGCGCCGTGCGGTGGCTGTGTTATTCGGCGCTGCTGCGCGAGTCCAACCCGCCAGCGAGGGTGGCGGGCGGCGAGCAGCACAGCCTCTTCATCGACGGCGAGGGGCGGCTCTCGTCGTGCGGCTCGGCGCCGTCCTACCTTTATTGTCCAGGGCTACTGGGCCACGGGGAGGGCGTGACGCGGCTCAACACGCCGACCCGCCTCCCTTCGGCGATGGGTGGAGAGCGTGCCGTGAGTGTGGCGGCTGGAGACGCGCACAGCCTCGCCCTCGCCGCCGACGGCAGTGTCTGGAGCTGGGGCTGCGGCTGGAATGGTAATGGGCAGCACCAGTGGCAGCCGAAGAAAGTTGAGGCCTTTGCTGGCCGGCGCATTGTCACTGTGTGCGCTGGATCCCGCCACAGCCTCGCCCTCACCGCCGACGGCGGCGTCTGGAGCTGGGGCTATGGAGGCTACGGCCGTTTGGGCCACGGCGATAACCAGCAGGAGCTGCTGCCGAAGAAGGTCGAGGCCTTGGCTGGGCAGCGCGTCATAGCTGTGTCGGCTGGAGGGGTGCACAGCCTCGCCTTCACCGCCGACGGCGCTGTCTGGAGCTGGGGCTGGGGAGACTCTGGCCGGCTGGGCCACGGCGACATGCAGAGCCAGCTGCTGCCAAAGAAGGTCGAGGCGTTGGCTGGCCAGCGCGTCGTCGCTGTGTCGGCTGGAGGCGACCACAGCATCGCCACCACCGCCGACGGCGCTCTCTGGAGCTGGGGCTGGGGAGCCCGTGGCGAGTTGGGCCACGGCGACATGCAGCACCAACTGCTGCCCAAGAAGGTCGAGGCGTTGGCGGGGCAGCGGGCCGTCGCTGTGACAGCTGCAGGTTACCACAGCCTCGCCCTCACCGCCGACGGCGCCGTCTGGAGCTGGGGCGGTGGAGGCTCTGGCCAGCTGGGCCACGGCGACGAGCAGATCCAGCTGCTACCTAAGAAGATTGAGGCCTTTGCTGACCAGCATGTCGTCACCGTGTTCGCTGCGAGCGGCCACAGCATCGCCCTCACTGCCGACGGCGCCGTCTTTACTTGGGGCAAGGGTGAAAGCGGCCGCCTAGGCCACGGAGAGGACCAGTCGAGCCAGCTGCTGCCCAAGAAGGTCGAAGCGTGGGCGCCGGGGCAGTGAGCTCAACTTGCGGCGCGTGTGTGGGTTGGCCACGCGCCGGCCGCCGCCCGCGCGCGGCGCGCCCCGCTCCGGCCTCCGCGCTCGCCGCTGCTGCGGGCTGCGGCGTGAAAAGTATCTCTCTGCGACTCCACGGTCTCTTTTCTTCTGAATGCTTACAACACACGTTGCGCAATCCCACCCCCCCGGCAGCCCCGCTAAGACGAGCACTCGTGTCCTCACTCTCTGTCCTCCGTAAGTGCGAAAGTGCGGCGTGTCGGCGCCCCCGCACCTCACACCTTAAGCAACACCGCCCAAAGAGGAGGAGCATGGTGAAAAAAGAAATAAGTGCGGATGGTGCCTTAGCCCGTGTGCTGCTGCAGCCGCCTCCGCCGCCGCCGCCCGCCTCCGCAGTGCCCTCGCGCCCGCGGACAAAACCAGTCATATATCCATGAGCCGGTTTTGCAGAGCGTACAAGACCTGCATGACTCCGTGGCACGATCGGCCGGCGTTCGAGCCGGCGCTCTTATGCTGCCGGTTCGAATCCCGGTGGTCGTGTCCTCGCGGAGCGACGCGGATCGCGCGCGTGTGCGCCTGCGACAAGACGAGACGAGAAGCAGAACCGAACGTCGATGTTTTTGCTGCCGCGGCCGCGCCGCGACCTCCCGTTTGTTTTGGCGCCGATGCAGCGCCGTCTCTCGCCGCGCGAGATGGCGCCGCCGAGGCGTCGGCGCCGCGATCAACCGCGCTCCAGCAGCGAGCGGTGCAGAGCGGCTACCGACATGACAGTTGGCGACGGCGTCTCACTAGGCAATCGATCGGGGACACGGAAAGAAGATAAACCCCGCCAGCTGCTGGCGGGAAGGCGGCCGCAACCGCCCCGCCCCCCAGGGCTCAGCCCTCAGGTTGCCCCCGGGCTTTGCGTGGGGTGGGGTGCTCCACCAGGCCCAGGCCACCACGCCTACCCCTACTCTGAGATCATGAGGCGCGCCTCCAAGCCCAAGACAACGCAGTCGCGCGGCATCAGCAAGCCCAGCGTGCAGCGCCTCGCCGCCTCGCCGGCTCTGCATCCACCTCCGAAGAGCGAATTTTACATTGGCGAGGATTCGCGGCTGAAGGCCGTCGAGGATGTGGACGTCTTTAGTCGCCACCCCTCTCCACGTGCTCTCGGCGGCGCGGCAGACGCAGCGAGCAAATTTCCGGGCGGCCGCACCACGGCTGGCTACCCCTATCTCTTGCAACGGCTCTCCGACCACGTCTACAGCGTGTGCGCGTACTGCCGCGACCCTTCCCTGGGCGCCCGCTTCGTCTTCAAAAAGATCAAGGGCTTCAAGAGGGCGGTGTGGGTCCCGCCGCCAAACTGCGGCCTAGGCGGTACTGACGCGCCGGCCGGCGCGGCCGTGGTGGACACGCTCCACTTGCACATGGTCGACAAGAGCAACGGCCGCTCGAGGCTGACCGGGGAGGCACTTTGCCGCTCCGTCTCCTCCGAGACGACGCACCTCTTCATCAACTCGTTCAAGGACGCCCCCGCCCTCGCCGACGCAATCTCGCGGTGCGGCGCGCTGCAGGTCGTCACCATCTTCGAGTCGAATGTCTCCCAGGCCGTCGTCGAGGCCCTCGCGGCCAAAGGCGCCAGCCTGCGCGGACTGCTGATCGACAAGTGCACGCCCGACGGGCTCGGCACCGGAGACGGCTGCTGGGCGTCGCTTTTCGCGGCGTCGCCCGGCCTCCTCTGGTGCACGCTCAACATGTCGGTCGGATGGCCCTTTGGCGCACACTCGTGGGAGACCCTCCCGACCTCGCTGCGAGCGCTCTCGGTGACGCAGCCCATGTACGGCGTCGGCGCGGCACAGCCCGCCGAGGTCGAGGCGCTGGCCACGGCGGCGAAGCGGCTTCCGGCGCTCAAGTGGCTCAAGATCGGCAACGCCGACCCCGGGCTGTGATGACCTGGGGCAGACAGGCGGCAGTGCTGCGGGTGCTGGCCCCTAAGACTGGTGTGTCCCTGCCATCCCCACGCGTCACACTCTGCGCTCTGCCCCGCCGGGGCCGACGACGGTGCGACGGCCGACGCGGCGGACGGGAGCCGGTTGTGCTTTCTTTATTTTCATGTTGAGGCTTTCGAGCATTCTTTTCCAACCCACTTGTTTTAACTCGGTCTGTATCATGGAAATGTGCAACTGCCAACTCTCGCTCACGAGCCGCCTCCACCCAACTTCCCGTCGAGCAGCAGCAGCAGCGCGTCGACGCTCCCAACCAGTGCGACTCCCACGACGAGGAGGGCCGCTCGGAGCTCGAACAGTTTCGCCTCGAGCGACGCGACGAGCACCTGCCGGCGTGGGGGTGTCCCACCTCAGATGGCATGGGCTGGTTCGCGACGTCTCTCACCTCGAGCGACGCTCGGTCAGAGGACCTGCCCGAGTAGCCCGCCGAGCCCGACGCCCTGCTGCTCGTCCGCGCGCCCGCCGCCGCCGGCGGGCGGCGCGGGCTCGTTGACTCGCACGACCGGGCCGCCGTCCCGCCTCGCCGCCTCGGCCGCCTCGGCCAGCTTGGCGATGCCTGGGTCGGAGGTCACGCCGGACAGGTCGAGCGCAGCCCGCAGCAGGGCGCCTTGCGGCCCGTCGACCTGCTGAAGCGTCTCTAGGCTACGCCGCACGTCGGAGAGCATCCGCTCGCCGGCCGCGCGGTCGCGATCCTCGCCCAGCACGCCCGTCGCGGCGCGCACCGTCGACGCGACGAAGCCGCTTCCCAGCAGCGCCGCCTCTGCCGCCCACAGCACACCGAGCGTCCCGCCGAGCAGCGCGCCGCCCGAGACGTCGACCGCGGTGAGAGCGCCGTCGATCAGGCCGCGAGCAGGAAACGCGGCGTGCAGAGCCGACCCGGCCGCCACGCCTGCAACGGTGCCGCACAGCGTTCTCAGAACGGCAGCCTGCGCCGCCTGCAACGCCTTCGGAGGCGAAGGCGCATGCAGTTCGACGCCTCGCCGCCGATGGTGGGCGCTCCGATGGTGGGCGCTCCGGTGGTGGGCTCCTTGCCAACCGAGGGCTGGTAAGAGGAGGAGCATGGGGGCGCTGAAAAAAGAAAACGCGAAGCCTGCTGGGGGTCGTGCCGCCTTGGGTGGCCCCAGGGGTAGCCCCATGTATGGTTCTTGCACTTGTGCAAGATTGGGCGTCTTCTGCCGCAGTCCCTTTGATGGGAGGCCCCAGGGTGGGGGCCACCTCGAACCCCCGGCCAGGGATTCGAGCGGAGGGTGCCCCGGATTCATCTATCCGTTGGGCCCCGGCACCTATTTTAGAACTGATCACTTTGCGCAGCAACCGTCGGCCGCCGCTTTTTAGCTGGACGGCGGTACGCTGCGCCGTCGCTCTGTCGTGCACGCTCTCGTGCCTCGTTGTTGTGACCCACCCTGTCCCACCCGTGTGTGATCAGTGTCTACGGAGGGAGTGTCTTCGGCTCACGCCAGGGCGCTCGTTGCTCCTCCGTCCGGCTCACGCCAGGGCGCTCGTTGCTCCTCCGTCTCTTTGTACGTTCTCTCTCTCTCTTTGTATCTTCCATACTGCGTTTATCAGAAGACCCCCACGCCCAACGATCTGCGCCAGCTCGCCGGATGCCCCGCACCGGAACTCGACCGTCCACATCCAGGCGGCTTCCCGTCATGGTGGACCTCGCAAGGCTGGAGAACCTGAAGAGGCTGCTCAACGACGGCACGCTGACTCGGGAGGAGTTTGAGGCGCTCAAGCAGAACGAGTTGCAGGCGGGTGGCATCGACCGCAGCTCCGACCGCGGGTCAGACTGTGCCTCGGAACGCTCCGCCTCGCCCGCGCCAGTCATCGGCGCGCCTGTGTACGGGGCAGCTACTGGCAACGCAGTGCCGGGCGCGCCTGGAGCCTCGAGCACGCCCACCCTCGCCGAGATGGGCGCGGTCTTCAGGAAGGAACTCGGCGTCGCGGGCACCAACCTGGTGGAGCTTGTTGAGGCGAGCTGCGTCGTGCTCGGAGTCTCAGTCAAGGGGAAGAGCCTCGCACAGCAGGCAGACGAGTGCTGGCGCGTCCTTCAGTCCCCTCGTGGAGCACACCTACCAGCGGGCCGGGCGTCGGCGGGCGCCTGCAGTGATTCAGAGCACGTGGGAGGGATGAAGACCACTGATCCGTTCGCTGCGCCGATGACTCACGACGACCCGCACGAGCGCATTTCGGAGAGGCTTTCACGTGCACGGGCGAGTGCTGCATCGTTTGCTTCGAGGCGATCGTCGACTCGTGTCGCTCCGGCCATCACGGAATCGGCATCCTCTGCTTCGTCGGGCCTTGCGGTGGATACTGAAGCAGGGCAGGTGCCACCCTCGGACCGCGCAGAATCGGAGGGCGAGCGGCTGTTCAGCTCACGATCGTCGGCTGCGGGGTCAGCTGCCCCCGAGGAATCGAAGGAAACAGCGGGGGCGATTGGCCTCTTACGTTCAAAGGTTGTCTGCTTGCGGATGCTGATCCGCGTGCTCTCTCTCACCCTCTTTGCCACCTGGGTTGCGACGCTCTTCGTGTGCAATGCGTACTGGGATGAAGGCTTTTTCGGTGAGGGCGGCGAGAGCTCGATCTCATGGAACCAAAGGCGCACGATGAGGACGGTGGGCGTGGTGCTAGTCGTCACGCAGGGCATAATCATAGTGGCGGCTCGGGCAGCACTCCTGCTCCAAGTGCAGCAAATCGGGCTCAGGCGTGTCTACTGCTTGCTTGTGCTTGCGAGCGCCCTGTCAACAGTGGGCGCACTGACGACACTGCTCATCTTTGCAGTATTCGCAACCTGGTATGTTGAAGTGCGATTTAGCCTCAAGTTCGCCATCTACGGGTCGCTGCTGCCTGCACAGAGCCTCGAGCTGGCTGCGTTTGTGCTCTTCGTACCCGTGGTGCCGGAGTGGCGACGGCGCGCCATCTTTTGTGCCGCATGGGGCGCCATCACGGTCACGGCGACGGTTGCAGTCATATGCGTTTACGAGGGAAGGGCGATGGTGGGCGCATGGGGCACATGGTATTACCGAGGCACCGAGGCTGACAGCAGCGTAGAAGCTTTCAGGTGGAGCGCCGCTATCCTAGCCCCCTCGTACTACCTGGCCGACATCTCTAGCGTCATCAGCAGGCCACAGGCGGCGGCACTGCCGCTGTGCCCTCCGACGAATCGCAGAGCCACTGCCAAGCGCCTTGGCATCGCACTCTTGATCTTCCTCGTCGTCACGTGCGCGCTCGCGGGTGTGATCTACGTTGGAACATGCCGCACGCAATCCGTGTTCACAAGTCGGGAAGATCTCCGGCGAGCAATCGAGCTCTACGACTTCGACGACACCATCTGCAATTCGATCTTTGGAAAATCGATGGGAGCGTGGGACGTGTCAGCCGTGACCGACATGAGCTACCTTTTCTCGCCCTACGGCGACTACGGTGGCCTTTCCGATGACTACTCACTCCGCACCTTCAACCAGGACATCAGCGCGTGGAACGTGTCGGCGGCCACCGACATGAGCTACATGTTCTACTACGCCCGCGCCTTCAACCAGGACATCAGCGCGTGGAACGTGTCGGCGGCCACCGACATGAGCTACATGTTCTACTTCGCCCGCACCTTCAACCAGGACATCAGCGCGTGGAACGTGTCGGCGGCCACCGACATGAGCTACATGTTCTCCTACGCCCGCGCCTTCAACCAGGACATCAGCGCGTGGACTGTTTCGGCGGTCACCACCATGAGCCAGATGTTCACCTTCGCCTCCTCCTTTGACAAGGTCCTCTGCTCGGATGCGTGGCGCGCCTCGAAGAGCAAGGCGTCGCAGAGATGGATGTTCTTGGGCACGAACGGTGCAGGCATATGTGAATGACTGCGCTCTAGAGTGGCCACTGAAGCTGCCCGAATAGACATGTCTTCCCATGTTGCCAGCGTCCTCTGCGAATGCCTCGAAGTGGACCAGCAAGGCGCTGTCTGGGATCGTGTGAGAGAGCGAGGCGGCACAAAAGCATCAACGGAGCTCTAGATTGCCATACGTTATTTTGCGGGTCCCGGTGTGAGATGTTGAGCTTGAGCGTTGAGGGTGACAGTGAGGCGCTGAGCCTGAGGCGCTGAGGCTCTGACGCCTGATAGAGCCGTATGGGAGATAAAAGACTCGCGCCGCGCGCACACTGCGTGAGCGAAAACAACTGTCCACCGCATCTCAGCCAGAGGCAGAGTGCAAAAGATACGCACCCTCAGTCTCCGTGTACGAGAATCAAACTCCGGGGACCCCACGCCACACTCCCTCGTCCCTGAACCGGGCTGAACGCACACGGGGTGACGACCGTCGACAGCGACTCCAACATCCGCTCGCAGTGAGAGAGGCCCCGGCCTCCCTGTCCCCCCCCCCCCCCCCACCCCCAAGGCGTTAGGACGAGAGTGGGGTCAGGCGAGGTGTCTGTCAGGAGCGTACGGCACTACGCTGCCCGCGCCTCCGCGTAGTACTTGCACGTGGAGTACCGGACGGTGCGGTAGAAGCCCGACGCCTACGGGAAGGGGGGAAGGGGGAAGGGAAGCTTCTCCCCGCACGCACAAGGTGTGGCGGGCCAAGGGCCAGGCAGCCCTTGCATCTATCTGCACCCGGACACGGGGGCAGGAGCTGGCCCGGCATTCACTGGGCAAGGCCACGGACGGCGGGTGAGCGACCCTGCCACTCCCTCCCAACAGCCCAGCTCCCGCACACACGCGCAATCGCACCCTGCCACTCCCTGCCCCTCCCCCTCCCTCGCTGCCCCTCCCTCGCCCCTCCCTACCCCTCCCTGCCCCTCCCGCCGCAGTTTCTCCCGCACACAGTGTCTCGGAAGGTGTCCCCCACACACCTTCTTGGAGCTGCGCGCCTTCTTGAGCAGCAGCTTCGTGAGCTCGAGCCGCGTCGCCTGCTCACGCGGCCGCGGTCTGTCGTCTCTCTCTCGTCCTGCTCTGGTGCTGGCATTCCCGCCGCCCCCAGTCCCTGCGTGTGTGTGTGTGTGTGTGTGCGTGCGTGTGTGTGTGTGTGTGTGTGTGTGTGCGTGCGTGTGTGTGTGTGTGTGTGTGTGTGTGTGTGTGTGTGTGTGTGTGTGTGTGTGTGTGTGTGTGTGTGTGTGTGTGTGTGTGTGTGTGTGCTGTGTGTGTGTGTGTGTGTGTGTGTGTGTGTGTGTTGGCGCCTCTCCTGTCGCCAGTCGCTTGAGTGTGGGTAGTACTACACTGCTACTACTGCTAGCCGCCTCCGCACGCTTGTCGAGGCTGGCCAGCCCGGCGTCGTCTGACACGGAGGGGAGGGGAGGGTGTGAGGCACGCACCAGGGGGTGAAGGGGCAGGGCGAGGGCGAGGCGCTGCGGCAGGCGTGGCGGCGAGCGGGCAGCAGCGAGGTGTGAGGCAGGGCGTGGCAAGCGGCGGCGAGCGGGCAGCAGCGAGGTGTGACGGCGGCAAGGGAGGGGGGGGGGGGGCACTCGTGTGCGGGTAATCTCGTCGTAATCTCGTCACAATCTCGGTCTCGGGTAATCTCGGGCTCTTGCCTGGCGCGAGCCGCGCGCCGACGCCCATGCCTACCGTGCTGAATACGCCAACCTCGGGGCGGGAGTGCGGTGTATTGCGCACCGCAGTGTATTCAGAGCACCGCGTGAGTACGAGGGGGCACGGAGACAACGAACACGGCTGAATCCCTCTGTGGCCTCTCGAGCGCTAGATGGAGTACAAGAGTCGCGTCTTCCGCTTCTACGAGATACGGGGAGATACGGGGAGGTATACGGGGAGATGTGGGGAGATGTGGGGAGATATTCCGCTTCTAGGCTCCGTGCTGCCAGATACGGGGAGATACGGGGAGATACGGGGAGATGTGGGGAGATGTGGGGAGGTGTGGGGAGATACGGGGAGATATGGGGAGATGTGGGGAGATATTCCGCTTC